TAAAAGTCACATTTACAAAAAGTGTCTCCAAATGCTTGACTAGGGAAAAACCCCTTTCAATATAGGAACATGTGCAACAATTCCACAAATAATCGCTATCCAGGGCAAGGCACATTGATATGGAATTTTTTTTTTTTTTGTTTCGTGCAAATTAAGAAAACAAAACAAAACATCGTTTCAGGGAAAAGATGAGGAGCAAAGTGTCTTCCCAAGAATTTCAGTTACTTGATTGTATAGGACAGTAGTAGAAACCCTTCTGAAGGGTCGAACAAACATAGTTTAAAGGCAAGTGCCTGGAATAGGGATTACAATATTGTGTCTTAATGCACTCTACTTTACCCTACATTAACTATATAAAAATTAGTTACTAACACTAGAACATGCAGAGACTTTCTCTGATTAGCTGGACTTGCCAACCAGAACGTATATATATGTATAGTATAGGAAACCTTCTTAAAGTTGCATGTGAAGCAAAGGGGTGCTCCGCTGTCTGATAGAAAAAATCACTTGCACTCTTTTTTTTTTCTTTTTTTTTTCCTTTTTTTTGTACATAAGATACAGGACGTTTGGGGTCCAAACTTCTTTTTTTTTTTTTTTTTTTCCATTTTCTACTTATTTGTCTGTTTTTTTTTCTTTTTTTCTTCTTCAGCAAGTGCCCTTGCTTTGAACTGGCATAAGTTGTAAGAAGATCAGCATCGTTCGTTTCTGTAATGATTTCTTCACAGTCCAGAAAATGTACCAGTTCAGGGACACAAAGGTGTTTTACTTTCTGGACCGTTCTCTCTTATTCCCAAGGTGTTTGAGAACTGATAAACCCTATATTGCCGGAAACACGTAAAATTTGTCAGAATTGGCATAATCCATTATAGTGACTTTTAGCTTATAAAATTAACAGATATTATGATTTCATTTTAGTTATGTGCTTTGATAACAGAAAATGATTAATTAGCATTTAATGTAGTTAACATATTGTGGTAAAAGCACCATTAGATTTGTTTTTTTTTTTTTAATTTTCCTTCAGTTTTAAAGGGATACAAGTTCAACAATAAAAAACATAAAAAGCAAAAATAGCTCCCCTTTTTCTTGCAAGGCTGTTTTTTACCCCAATAATTTAGAGTCCTGGGGTGGAAGGACTTGGAAAACAAAAATAGAATTTTCAACAATCTCTATCTTACAAAGATATTTAGCTATCCAATGAAATTGCACTTTACTCAATTCAAAATTCGATTGTTTTGATTGATTCCTGTCAGTTTCTGTCAAAACAGACCAACTTCCCCATTTCTGCGTGAATTTTTGTGTAATTGTTGAAAATTGTTGAAAAATGTTTTTTTTTAAATGTAAGTGCAGCATTTCAAACTTTTTTCTTTTTTTTCTTTTTTTTTTTTTTAGTGAATAGTAGTAGTTTGATGTTTTAAATCGCTCTGCAATCGAGTGGAAAAAAATTGTTGACAATGCTCTTATGGTTCATGTTATGTCTCTAAGTGCCGACTGTAAAAAAAAAAAAAAAAGAAAAAAAACCCCAACAACAACAACAACAAAAAGAAACCTGCATTTTTTTTTTTCCCCGATATGTTACAGAAAAAAAAAAAAACATGCTCTATGTCTGTCCGGTAAGTTATATATTGCAGAATTCAGCTACTACAAAAGTTATAGTTTAAGTGTGTTTCATGATTTCTCAAGAAGTCTCACACCTGTATGGGAAAATCCGATGAGGATACTGTAAAACAGTTAGGCTCCATATGGAAAGTGTGTTACAACAGCGAGTTGGTAAGCAGCAGCAGAGGCTAGTTCTACTCAGTGTCACCTAACGCTTACACTACCAATGAAACACTTCAAAAGTTATGAAGCCCAACCATTTCCAGCACCATATGAGAAATTACAACAGTCCTAAAGTTGTCTAAAAAAAAAAAAAATTAAAAAAAAAAAGAAAAATTAAAATCAAATCTCAAGAGAAAGTTACGGCCTTTGCCATTCAACCATAACGTTTGCCATTTCCATGTACGAGTTTGCTGTCGGTGTCTGCTCGCCTCCCCTTCCGCCGATGTGAAGTCGCTGCGCTGCGTTGCTGCTGCTTCCGTGTTACAGAGGTGGGAAGGGGTCTGGTGGTCTGTCCGGTGCGTGGTGGGAAGCGGAGACTTTTATCCCAGGTACCAGGACTGCAAAAAGAAAAAAGGAGAAGCGTCAGCCCCGGCCGCCCGCTCTCGCCGCTTCCCCAAGGGCTCCGGGCACGGCCGCCAGCCTCCTCCGCCAAGAGGGGGGCTAATTGAGACCGTGACAAATTGACCTAATTACAAAGCTTAATTAAAAATACTGTACAAATCAATATATTTTTTTTCCCTCGCCGACAGTCGCTGGACATAGCTACAGATGAATGCGGGGGTCATGTCACGTTACAAGTTATCAATCTTTTTAATAGATGATGGCTTGAAGATCCCTCCAGTTCACTTTTGTCTAATCCCCTGAAAAGGCGATACACATTCGCCTCTCTGTGCCATTTATCACCCTGCAGTCGGGGTTTTCTTGGGTATTTAGGCATGTGCCAGCATAAGCATCTGTTGCTTTATACTGCCCTGCTTCAACTGTCTCGCTGGAACAGATGCACAGAAATTCAACAACAGGGCTGTTTTCTTAGGAGAAATGTGGATCGCTACAGAAAAGCCAGGATAAAGCAAATCTGGGGGAAAGTGGATCAGTGAAACTGTCCCATACCTCTGCCCATACTTGTGTTTCAAAACAAAACGTGGGCCTCAACTAATAGCTTTTCTTTGGGAAAATATTTTTTTTTCTTTTTCTTCTTTTTCCCAAAGGGAGGGAATTCCCAGGGAATTCAGCCCTGCAACAATACCGTCCTTAACTCAACGGCGCAGATGCCCGGAGCACAGAAAGCAATTTCGCTCCTCCATAGGAAAATAAACACAGTTGGGAAGCTGGAGTGGGCTCTGCTGGAGCCGGGGCAGTGCCACTGCACCGGGGAGAGCCCATCCCAGCCCCAGCAGGGTCAGCCCAACCTGAACCCGCGATGAATGAGAGCAGTGTTAGGCCCTGGGACCGTGCGCGCGGGGGGATGCTCCTTGGCAATGACATATTGCTGTGGAAATACACCAACAAGCAGCAACTATTTAGCCTGGAGTAAAGTAATACAACAAGAAAGACTCAGGTATTAAAGAGCCGTTGCTGATACCCCCCGTTTTTTTGCTGGGGCTCCTGTAATATATGAGGTGTGTCTGTGTGCGCGCACGGACCGATGACAAGTTTTACCAACTTTTTCCTCCGCTCCTTTTTGGCCTCTGACATGATTGATAGCACAATCAGCTCCAGGAGGACTTATGAACATTTACGGAAGACTCTGAGGCAAGTTTCATGTGGGACTTGGAGATTATGTGGTCTTGCCATGGAGGTAGGAACCGGTAAAATAAATAGCAGGATCGGAGAAGTTGTCCTGCTTCCAGTACACCTCATTAACTAACTCTTCCTCCGCTCGCCCTTCTGAATACAAACACACCGGTCCCATATCGGCTCCATCTATTGCCTACAGATTTTATATTTAGACTTACTCGGGCTGCAATTAAACGAAATAGTTCTCATATGTAAAGTTTATAAACAGAGGAAAGTTCTGGCAGGGTTCGTGAAGCGGAGCCAAGTCCCGTTCTCCTCCCTGACTGCGGGGCCCTACTGATTTTTAGGTGGGTGCAGGGATGTGAAGTGTGGGCTGTGCTGTGCTGGAGATATCTCCAACCACCACCAGCACCTCCGGTCATTGCCAGCTCCCAACTTCTCCAAACTTTTCAGGGTCGTCCCACACGCTTTGAGTGTGACAGTTTTTAGCTGGACTGGGAATTGTGGCACTCCCCAGCAGGGAGGAGAGGGGGTAAAGTCCAATAAGGGAGCGAGTAGAGGGGCTAAAACTGCAAGGTAAAGGAGAAGAGGGGTCACAGACTGAGATGGTGGAGTTGAGGGGTTGCAGACTGAGAGATGATGGGAGTTAGGGGGGTTAAGACTGAGGTGATGGAGTAGGGGGGTTAAAGACTGAGAAGAGATGTGGTAGAGGGGTTGGACACTGCAAAGTGATGGAGCAGAAGGGCTGAACACTGTGAGGCGATGGAGTAGAGGGGTTAAAACTGAGAGGTGATGGAGCAGAGAAGTTAAAAATTTAGAGGCGATGGAGTAGAGGGGTTAAAACTGAGAGGTGATGGAGTAGAGAAGTTAAAAATTTAGAGGTGATGGAGTAGAGGGGTTAAAACTGAGAGGTGATGGAGTAGAGAAGTTAAAACTGAGAGGTGATGGAGTAGAGAAGTTAAAAATTTAGAGGCGATGGAGTAGAGGGGTTAAAACTGAGAGGTGATGGAGTAGAGAAGTTAAAACTGAGAGGTGATGGAGTAGAGAAGTTAAAAATTTAGAGGCGATGGAGTAGAGGGGTTAAAACTGCGAGCTGCTGGAGTGGAAGGGTTAAAGGCTGCGAGGCCGTGGAGAGGATGAACAGTTCCAGGCAGTGGTTCCCATCTCCGCTGTCCGGCTGCTCCACGGCCGCTGGCCCGGCACATGGCCCGGCGGTGGCGGGAGCCGCTGCCCTCGCCACTCCTCCCTCGTTTCAAAAGCGGAATTTTTTCTTTAAAAAAAAAAAAAAAAAAAAAAAGAAGAAGAAGAAGCGCAGAGGCTGCGGAGGTGGGGCTGCGGTGCCGGGGCCCGGCCGGGCTCCGCCGCCCCCCCGGCCTCGGTCCGTGTGTCCGGCCGCTCCGCCGCTCCGTCCCCCGCCGCCCCGCGCTCCTGCACGCATCTCGCTATTCACCCCGCGCCTCGCAGACAAGGTTACCCCAGAGCGGCTCTGTAATCCTTCACTGAAATAGGCTTTATTGATTGCTCTGGTCTATTGTTCCCTTTTCAAGTCCCCCAAGTTCAAGTTCATCCCGGTGTTACATCATGTCTCGTTGCTAAGGGCAACCAGACAGCCCCAGACGTGACCGCCATCCGCAAGCGCGGCGCTGCGCCCTCCCACCGCCGCCAGCCGCGCTGACGTCGAGCCCCGCTCCCAACACACTGAACTATTTATTCTGCCTAATTTATGACCTCCACAGCAAGAGAGACCCCCACTCCAAAAACCAACACTGTTGTATATTTAATTAATCTGTCTTTCTCTGGCACTTGGGAAAGTTAGACAAAGGTCTAATTATTGTGTGTCGCTCCCCACACTTTTCTTTTTGGGGTGACTATTTGCATGGGAAAAGAAACGGCGAGGCTGGGCGCGAGTCCCCTCCCTCCAAAACACCTTTTTTTTTCCCCCCTGCCCTATTGACATTTCATGAAATACTTTAGCTGCTTAAGGGAATTAGAAAAAAAAAAATCTGATGTGAATGTAACTCCTTCGGAGTTGGTATTCAGTAACACAAATCAACTCATGACATGTTTAAATTTAAATGCTAACCACACACTCTGCGAGTTACTTTAAAGGTTAGTTTTTAATCAATAGAAGTTGCTGACTCGGGAGTTTTGAGCGGCGCAGTGCAGCTCTGGGGCCTTTGTCTCGCGTTGGGCTTTCAAACTTTTTTTTTTTTTTCTTGAGATGATTTTAGCAATGATTTGCAGACACAGAGCGCTATTGTGCTCCTGAGTAGCAACATGTCAATAAAGGAGTAGAGTTACCATGCACTAGGGTGTCAATATGACTCCTGCAGACACTGCTCAGCCTTAATACCAATGAAAAACTTAACCCTTAGAGGAGAGACCCAAACCAAACCGCATGCTTGTTTCAAAACTTCCTTGCTGGGGCTCCGCATGGCCTTGAGTGAAAAGCTGCTTTTATGGCACCCAAACTCGGAGCGCTTCGCCAACAGCTGCGTCCCGCTCCGCCTGCTCCTGCAGCCCCACTTGGATGAGATGTTTTATGGGCTGAGGCAGCAGAACAGCCAGACAGAGCGTGCATTTACCCAGCAGATCCCACCAGCACCGCTCTCGGGACACCGGTTTAATTTAGAGCATCTTACAGCTGAAGCGCACACACAGAATGATCCTCCTTTTTCTGCTAATCATTTTAATATTAAGATCTCATATCCCCCTCAAGCCTCCTATACACGTCTAAGTCTTCCAGGATTAGGGCTGAAGAGCACCATTGTTCCTCTGGAGCACCTGTGAAACTTCTCTGCTAGGAACGAGACCTCCGGCCTCAAATGAAAATGTCTAGGAAGCGTATTAGGCACTTGGAGACCCGATAGCTGGGACCTATCAAGGGTTTTTTTGCATGCTTAGGGAGCTTAGAATGGAAAAAAAAAAGAAGCCTGGATACCTACATTTAGATGGCTGAAGTATTTTGTGCCTTGCTTTAGAGTGCTGCTCAATGTCTAAGCACCTCACCCATTTCATCCCTTCAGTTCTGTAACCTATCTGACTGCACCCACTCGGAGAAGGCGGTGTTGCCTTTCTTAATTTAAAATCTCCATTTAAATCATGGGCCCTATCACAGTACAGTCAGGATGATATTATCTCTGTGCTTTTTCATAAAAGAGCCGGTGTTTTATTTCCCTTCTATTTACTTTGCAGTACTGCTCTCCCAGGGAGTTTAGAGCTAAATGCACCCACTGGAGCTAAAAAGTCCTGCTCAGTAAAATTGCTGCCACACAGTTGTCGGTGCAACTACGAGTCTGTATTGTCCTGCCGAGCATCTCACTGTCCTTCTCCAGCACTCAAGGTGAAACATCAGAAAGAATTCTGCAGTCCGGTACGAGATCTTTGCTTCCCTTTCTCCAGTCAAATGAAGAAGTAATCTCATCAGGTTGAAAAGTGCTGACTAAGGATTTAATAAAGTGCCTGCAGATGTGTGTCATCTCTAAGGTATTCAACTCATGTAATGCAAAACAGTTCCACACTGAATGTGCTTATAAAATTCCATTTAACCATTGCAGAGCTCTATTTTACTGTTCTCCGAGGAGTATTACCACACTTTTTCCCCCCCCCTCCCTAATTTACAGCACCATGAAAGTTGAAACTCGTATTTGAGAATCCTCACAGTAGTAAGGTTTTATGATCCATAAACAATATCTACTTGACTGAATCCTGAACAGGAAGTCTGAGATGGCAATTATGGTTCTCTGATAGTGCAAGTCTTTTTGTTTCTGATGCACTCCTGGAGATAGCAGAGACACACAAAAATCGTCCAGCCACTCCTGACAATCAGCTCCTTTCTACGGGAAATACAGCAAGGAAGCATTCCACGATTCTGGATATTTAACAAAGTGCCTCATCAACTCCTGCAGCAGTTTCTGCCTGAGTCAGGAGCCCAGAAACAGGCCCATTGTTTATGGAAACCTTCTCAAACCAGCCTTCCTGCATGCCGTCCCTCACCCCCAGCCTCGCCGCGAGCACCGCTCACGTGTTTCCAACCCCAACTCGTTCCGTTCGCTTCTACCTGCACATCTCCTGCCCCAACAATGGGACCTTTCAGCTCGCGCAGAAAGCCGGGGCTGTGCACCCTCCCTATCTGTTTTTCAAATTAAGAAGTTAAACAAAAGTCCTCAAGGGCAAAGTTTAACGCTGCGGAAGGAGGTTGTTAATGTGGAATCCAGAACTGGGTGTGACAGTTGGCTTATTTCTCCGGGCGATGTAGGTTATTTAAGGACATTCACACGTTTGAAACTCTGACAAACACCATGCACAGCAGCTTTGGCTTCCCTGTACCCACTCAGGGCTCAGACCTGCTCAGTGATAGCCATTTTCTGTGGGTTGAAGCCCAGTTTGTGTGCCCGGCGGCGCGACAGGTCGGTGCCATCGGGACTTCAAATGCGGCTGCTGCGGCCGTTGCTGCCCCGGGCGCGTGCAGGAAGCGATCGCTGCACGGGCCCAGGTGGGAAAACCCACCTGTGATAAGAGCCTAAATAAAATAAAACCCCACAGCTTTAGAGCTCGCCGGCAAAGCGGCTGTTTGGGCAGCCTGCAGAGCGTTGTTTCGTTTGGGGATGACATTTCAGTCACCTCAAGAACTTTGAGGCTCTCACGAACATTAACCCCGGGAAGGTGAATTGGGGTAACGAGTCCTTCTGGTTGCAAAGATAAAAGGAGAATGTGAGCAGTTAGGCAGTGCGCTGGGCCTTTTGGCATCACCTTGTGAGAGGTGCCGGGAAGGCTGTTCCCCACGGTGCGTCGTGTGAAAGCAAGGGGACAAAACTGGGCCTTTGATGCCACTTCAAAAGGGTTGCCAGGGTGAGGGGAGACAGTGGCAGTTCAGCTTCTGGTGCGACTGGCTGGAGGACTCCTGCAGACACAGCAACTGCCTCTGGTTTACCCCACATCTGAATTCATCCCACTCTTCTAGTGCTTCCTCCAGAGTTTCTCCAGTCCCAAAATCTGATCCCACTGTGTAGGACCGAAAGGTGAATATAAAAGACAAGGTCACCTTTGTGCCTATGGAAGTTATTTTCTTAGAGCTGGAATTAATTATTTAGTAATTATATTTTCCAGACTGAAATACCGGCAGGGATGTAAGTAGCATGTTGGTCATCCCCAAAGGGACGTAAAACAGTGAGAGAATCTTCTAGTTGTCCAACATCCGCACCGGGGAGAGTCACACACCCCACTCTGAGCACATTTATATTGTCTGGAGGCAGATAAAACCTGTCCCAGGAGGGACACTGGTCTCCAGGCAATGCATACAGTAGCTCTGCATCCAATAGTTTTTGCGGGAATGCCAGTTGTGGCAAACTGCATTAAATTACGTGCAATAATTTTGTAATATGCACTTTTGCCTGCTGACTATTAAAAATGTATAGTTGTCCAAAACCACTACTCTCCTGGGACCAACAAACTCACTTCAGGCAAAATTTCTGCTTGGGTTCAAACCTCAAGTTGGGAACAGCTAGTGTTTTTAAATAAGTCACCCCAAACCCTCCCAAACCTATGAAAACACACTCATACAGTAACTCCTGCTGTTGTTCCAGACATCTGAATGTTCCAGTAAAGTGTCCCAGCTGGCCCCAGATGTTTCTTAAGTATAAACCAATGCTCTGAGTGCTGGACCCCCTGCTGCCCCGACCTGGAGCTCAGCGGATTAAAGATTGACTGCGCTATGACATATTCGCATTTAGCCTGAATATAATACAGCAAAGACTTATCAATGGCAAATGTTTGAAATGTAACCCAGTCAGCAGAGTAGGCTGGCACTCTGAATATGATGTATAAATAATGTATGGGAACTTAAAATCTAAATTGGATCTACAGGAAGAAAACTTTCCCTTTTCCCTGCCTCTAAAAGAAAAGTTCTCTCACAATGAGGTCATTTTCCTGCTCGTCTTTTGGTTTACAAAATTGCTTTTAGGCAGAGGGTCTTGCCTTTACTTGGGGAACATTTTGCCAGTTACAGTTTTCCTCCAGTCTTCTAAAAAACCAAGCAATGAAGTTCACTTATTTGTTAGTAGATTGACTTTGAAATCTGCAAAATAACTTCTAAACTTTGCGTGGTCGGCTGAAAGCTGACTGCAGCCATGCTAAACTGCAACCCTTGCTGTTTAAAAAAAAAGAAAAAAAAAAAAGATAGTGAAGGGAAAGAGAGAGAGGAAAAAGAAAGGGAGAAAGAGAGAGAAACAATCCCATTTTGGTTTTTGTTAGAGGACGGCATACTACATAGATCAGAGACTTTTCAAAAAATAAAAACCCCCACTGTACACAAAGCACAGGAAAATGTGAGGAAAAAAGGAAAAACCTAAAAGCAGCTTAGAATGTGTTAACTCTGCCATTCTGTCAGCTTAAAGAGTATTTTATGCTTGATCAACAGCTCTCTTTTATTATGCTTTTCTTTCATTCATTCAAGACATCAAAGACCAGAACCACCAGTGTACCTGATCTACCAGAAGAACTTGTAAGGGTGTTCTAAAGAAACGGGGGTATTGGGAGCCAGACACCCCTGCGGACAAGGCAGTTCAAAGAGAATATTTCAACAATGATTACATTTTGTAAATCTTTGTACGAAAGACAGCTTATTTCCTGCTTTTTTCATGAAAAATAGATTCTATCCATTAAAGTGAGCCCACAGTATGAAAGTTACTTGAGATCTGAGGTACAGCAAGCGGATTAAGTGGAGGGTGAGATGAAATCTTTGAGAGAGACGATGGCTTTCTCTGATATTTGTCGCTGCCATAGGGTTTTCTGAGTGGGCTAGAAACTTTTTTTAAAAATTTTTTTTATTTATTTGTAGACTTGTTGGTGGCAGCGAAGCCGTTTGTAAAAGCAAAATAAACCGTAATGAATCAGAAAGGAAAATTGCAACAAGTAAAAAAGGAACAGAGAAAACAAACAGCTGCAAAAAAACCTTCTGACATGTTTGAAAGGAAAACTATATATATTTGCCCCGCTCCGAAAATCGCAATCGAGCCATTTAAATCCTGCAGACAACTCCGAAGTGCAGCACACAGACCCAAGCCAGCTGTTTACTTTTCCAAGCCCGTGGTGGTTTCTGCATTGATAAACTATATAACCTCACACACACAGAAGGGATTTTAGCTATGCCAGACCTCATTGCTCTGTCCCGCTCTCTTTATGTGCTGTCACAGAATAAAAATGATCCTAACACAAACCCTGAAATAAGATCTCGCTCCAGAAAGAACATCTTTGTAGATATTTCCTGAGTTACTGCCAAGCGGGATTTTTTTCACCCATTCATCCTTTCAAAGTTTTGCTATAACCATAGCCAAAATTGTTCGGGAGTAATCAGAAATGACCAAAATATGACCCCCTAGCCAAGGCCAGCTGTGGGCAGAAGAGGAGGAAGCTGCCCCACGCCTGTGGCTGGGACAGCAGCCACCTCTGCCACCACACCTGAGTGACACTGGCCAGCATCAGCATCTCGCTCCCTGCTTCTGTACATACTTTTGCAAGAGAAGAAGGAAACAGCGGGATGCATGGATTCAAAGAGGCAAAACCCACCTTTAAACCCACCAAACTTTAAACCCACTTCACGGTTTACATCTACTATTTCGAGGTAAAAACAAATGTGCTGCGAGGGGGGCTGAGTTGTGCACTTTATGCCTTGTTTTTAGACAGCCCCATATTTTTCTCTGCTGGAGGCACAGTTAAATTTGCTCGGGAGTGCAACAATCCCATATTTCTTACAGCAGATCTCCCTCATTTCTTTCCTTTTATGAAACAACACGTGCACGGGGACTTGGAGCCGCTTATAACCTCATGCCGGGAAGTCCCGTGGAAACTGGGACGGCGGACACACTGCTGCGACGGGACTTTCCAGCCTTTTGCTTGGATGAAAGCAAAATTTTCTGGCTCCCCAAACTACATTTCCCCCCTGGACGCGGCACAAAAGCCGCTGGGTGCCCGGGGACCCCCAAACCCCAGGGTGGGTGCCCGGGTCCTGCGGCGGCTCCGCTCCCAGCCCCTCACGGCCGCCCTCGGCCCGGCCCAAGCCCCGGCTGCGCCTTCCCAAGTTCAAGTTCAGGTTTAAGGGAAATAAACCGCTCCTCGGGAGCCTGCAGCCAGCCCTCATTTCCATGTGATCCCTCTGAACTTCGCCTGCGCCAGCGCGCCCTGTTTCCAGGGCCCGCCGAAGGAATGTTTTACAGTTAGAGCCCGCAGTGCTTTCTCAGGCATTTCAGACCCAGAGGCCCAAGTTTCAAGCTGCAGCATTAAAAGTTTCCACAGAGCTACTGCAGAGAGAGGGAGGGAGGGGAGGGGGGAGGGAAATGAGGAGAACAATATCGTCTTAATTGTCTTCTATATAGCTCCACAGTTAAAGTATTACTTTTTAAAGGGACATAATTTATTCTGGAGGCACGGTGTTATAACAACCAGTACATACTTTCACCGCGGCGTAACCCGCTCTATTCTTCATTGTGCTTTCCGGTGGTGTTGCTTTTGCAGAACTCCTTGTTACGCCATCCCCGGTACTGTACTTACAGTTTTATTCAATTTAAGCCAGTTCCTGCAGTCCTCGGGTGAGCAAAACCGCTCCCCCCTCCCCAAGCCTCGGGAGTTCTGCCTGCACCAGGACTGCAAAAATAATCTCCCCTCAACCACCGTTTTTCTCCCCCCAAAAAAAGTTTCTTTACTTTTATTGCTTTTGACAATCGGGGAAAGTCATCCAAAGAAAATCAACCCCCAGCCTGGGCCTCCCAGGCTGGGCTCGCAGCGAGACAGCGCGAGCACACACGCACAGACACACACGTACACACACACGGGGCTTTGCCCTGAGCTCTCCTGCCCCGTCCCGGGCCAGCCGAGCCACGGGAGATACGTCAGGGGCCCAGGGGTCCCAGTGGGATGGATGCAAGCTGCTACAGAGGCTGTGGCTCTTTGCTCTGCAGTTTGGGGTACAAAAGGTAGTTTTCAGCCTTCTTTTCTCCCATTTCTCCACTGGAGAGCATGGAGGAGGGAAAGGTCATTACAGCCTTCATAGGCTGAAGGCTGGGGTGCCTTTCCTTGCCCTGGTCATCCAGCTCTTATATTATCCTGGCTCTGACAGCCCCAGTGGAGCTGTAGAGGACCCATCCACCACCCCAGCCCTGTCCAGGGGCTCCTTGTGGTGCAACAGGAGAAGACCCATCATGGGTCAAAAGGTAGTTGACCTACAACTACCCAAGGTAGTTCAGCTGCTTTTTTTGACTGCCCTGAGAGTAATTCAGAGCACACAGAGGAAAGTGAGGGGAGAGAATAACTTGGGCTGGTCAGGAGAGTAAGCACTCCCTCCAAAATGCCTCCCCAAAGTCAGGTCCCTGCCTGTGCTCTGTCTGGGTGAAGTGAACAAATGAGCAGCCCTGTGCCCAGCCTGATCAAAGCAGGGCAAAAAGCAGGAGGAATGGGTTGGTGGGGACTGGGAGGCAGAGAGCAGGGAATGGAATGTGGGCAGCAGGAGCAGTGGGGCTGGCAGGGCACACTCCAGGCAAAGGGACAGCTGGGGACCCCATGATGAGCGGGCCTAGACAACAGCAGGTTTTGAGAGGTGGGTAGAGCAAGGCTGGGTTTGGAGACCGCAAAAAGGGAAGAGGAATTCAGGTTTTGGCAAGTCCTAGGTGTTACTGGCCAAGGAGATCAAAACCAGTCTCCAAATTAACACGGACCAAAATAGGAGCACAGAGGCAACTCTGGCACTTTTGACCTTAAAATTACAGAAGACAGTGAGCTGGAGGAATAATGACTCGATTCATCAGGAAACCCCCCCTTCCCAAAACTCCTCTTAAAAAAAGAAAGCCAAGAGGGCATTGAGCTAAACAAAAAAACCTCTCCTGAATGTGGGAACTTTTGACATCTGCATTTTTCCTGATGCTTTGTACCTTGTTAAACTGCTCGAAAAAAATGGAAGGTTGTGCATCATGCTTGTGCTCAGGGACCCAGCTGTGGGGATCCATGAAGGGATTATTTCCATCCTGCTGTGGGGAATCCCATCCGGGGATGAGTCCTGTAAATATCCACTGGGGCCATTGGGGTCAGGATGCTACAGGAGCGGTGTGAGTGGGGCAGGGAAAGACCACCCCAGGCTCCAGAGGTTGCCAGCTCTCTGTTGGAGAAATGGGAAAAGGCTTTGCAGCACATGATCCATCTTTGGATGAGGAGGGATGTATTAGACATGGTTGGCTAAAGGGAGTTGGGTCTTGGCCTAGCTTGGAGCAATTTTCACACATACTGTGAGATGCCAATGCAAGTCCTGGTGGAGTGTAAAGTCATTAAATGAGATGAAATTAAACAATTTAGTTATTTCTGCTTCATCATATTTGTGCAGTATGGCAGGCAGAATGAATTACTACTAATGATCAAATTTAGTAATACTAATTAAACTATCTCAATTTAATTAATACTAACAGAGAAAACAGACAAAATTACTAATGTAAACCTTGAACTTAAAATCAAAAGGTGCCTCTTCGCTTTTGTGAGTCACTGAATGTGAGGTTTTTCCCTGAAAATAGCCTGTGTAGAAGTGGCTCTTTGTACTCCCTAAGCAAGCTGCTCCATTGTATGGGTAACTACAGCTCTCCTCCAGCTTTCTTTCCCCCCATTTTTTTCCCCCTAAATGTTACTACTTTTACTCCTTGTTTTTCCAAAGAGCTTCCAGGAGAAGAATCTGAGCTCTGTTCAGACTCACACAATATCAACAGCACTGATAAAGCAGTTAGCACTGCTGGGACAAATTCTGCCCTGGGTGCAGAATTTGGTAGGAAGAGGGTTTATAAAGAGCCTGTGGAGCCTCCCTTGCTGGGAAATCATGGAATCACAGAATGGTTTGGGTTGGAAAGGACTTTAAAGATCAGATGATCCTCCAAAGCCCCTGCCATGGGCAGGAACGCCTACCACTGGACCAAGTTTCCCCAAGCCCTGCCCAACCTGGTCTAAAATTGCCTAGAAGACCAGAAATTTGGGAAAACCCCAAAACCAAACCCATCTCTACATCAAGGAAGATGTCTTTAGGGTAACTGACAGTTAATACCTGTAACCACAAAATAAAAACTCCACAGATACATGAAGACTGCATTGCAAACCCTCCCCATAAAGAAAATGTGAATTTTAGCCTTTCTCTTATCTGAAAAAGACTAGATTTACTCTATTGTACATAGTTATAAGCAAAAGACGAGCATAATTAAACAAAAATATTATTGTATTTTTAAAACAAGCTCCTGCCAATAACAAATCCCCCATCTCCTCCTCTCACAAGCTTCAATGAATGTACAGCTGAGTCCCACACCACAAATTCTCAGACATGATCTTTAACCTAAAGGGCTACAAGAAAGTCCTTAAAAAAACCCCAACAAACCAGGGGATAGCCAAACAAGGAGTATAATGTGTCAAAGTGTTCTTCCAAAATCCCAAATCTCATTGTTTAGCACATGCCAAGATGAAAAAACCCAACCCCACATGCAAATATCGTATCTCAGGTTATCCTTCTTTTTTTCTTTAAAAATCGGTAGTTTTCTTTCATGTCCTGCAGGGCAGGGACACCTCCCACTATCCCAGGTTGCTCCAAGCCCTGCCTGGTCCTGGACACTTCCAGGGATCCAGGCACAGTCACAGCCTCTCTGGAAAAGCTGTGCCAGGGCCTCCCCACCCTCACAGGGAACAATCTCTTCCTAAATTATTGTGTTCAGCCTCAGAGGTGGCTGCACAGTGTTGGTTGTGACTTTGGTTACTCATATCTCATAATTAAAATTACATTTCAGTGCCTTCTGCAGTGCATTCAGCTGCATCTCTTCATGTGTAATAACCAGTGTTTGTGTAGATGATGTAACAGTTGGGTCACACAAGTGAATATGCCTGAGAATATTATGATTATGGTGTCAGTACTGTTTTCAAAGTTGAATATTAATAACTAAAGCACCTAAGGGGAAACCTAGAAGATATTTTTAAGTTTAGCCTCTTGGTTTTTATGAGATTTTTTTTTTTTAAATCCTGGTTTTAAATTAAACTTTTCCAGTTCTACCTCTGTTCAAGCAGAAAATGCTATCAAAGCAAAAGCCTAAAATGAGACATGTTTTGCTGTTCTAAACGAAAACCAGGTAAAATTTGAAAGCTGCAATTTCCCATGCTGTTTGCAATCCTTTCTAAGAACAGACACCTTTGTAAAATTTAAAATATAAACAGGTTTTACCAAAATTGAAGTAATTTTGCCCTATTGCTTTTGAAACCCCAGTCTTTCCCCTCTATATTATTTATATTTCTCTAGGACAGTCCAGCACTTCTCCTGCAAACTGAGGACTCCTTCTCTGTTAAGAAAAGGCTTCTTTTGGTCCCTTTTTATGGAATTCACTATTAATTTCAGAACAGGACAGTCTATTTTGCAAAGTGTTCACCTCTGGAGCTTATTCATTCCTTGACCTCTGTGTTAATGCAATTAAGCAAAGGTGATTCCTAGAACAGAGGTAGCTTAATGCCTATCCATTGGGAAGGATGTAGGGATTGTGGCCTTTAATTTTTTGACTTTCATTGTGGATTGTGGTCCTAATCCTTTGATTGCGGAATTTTTAAAAAGTATATATGGCAGTTGGCAAAAAATCTTAATGTTCCAGTAAATGCAAAAGCCATAAATTCAGCTGCTGACCTTTTCCATCCAGGTCACATGTGACATCTACTGGAGTTTGTCAGGCTGGGTGCAATTTATGGAGCTCATATAGGTATCAGCTGTGAAGGCTGAACTTTCATGAAATGTCTTTCAAAGGCACTTCCAAAACCCTTGTAAAAAGTCAGTATGGCTTTTTTTTTTTTTCTTTTTTTTTTTTTTTTTTACGAGTATACATTCTGCACACATTTTAAAAGGTCTCATCGTGCCACCTCTGCAAATTTTCAGCACCTGGGAAACTTCAGCTCTTAAATTATTACTCTTTACAAAATAGAGAAATCAGGCCAGGCATGTAATTACTGCCATCACCAACTTCCAACAGCCCTTTCCCAAGCCTGGCTCTCTGAGCATTCCTTTCTTTCTGGTGTGCAGCCTCCTGCCCCTCTCTGGGATCGATGGTTTTGATGGTGTATTGTCAGTCAGAGAAATGGGATTTGATAGTGCCCTGAAGCAGTTGGGAAGAAGGGAAGGAATACAAAACCCAGCCAGGTCCACACCGTCAGCGTGAGATCAATGCTCTCAATAATACGTTTGCTGCCACGTAGCGCCCTAACTGTCGCAATTAATAATGTAGAAGGAGCTGATTAACTTAAGTAAAGTGCTCTCCACTGTGTAAACACACAAAGATCTATAGGGCCAAAGAGGAAAGAACGAACAAAACGTCATTTTTATATTTTATGTGGACACATTCTTGCTTTCTATTCTGCTCTTGTAACAATTACTGTACTAGCCACTCTGACAGAGTCAATAAATTGATTGTGGGCCTGATGCAGCAGCGAGCAGACTAATCCAATACAGCATTATCTGCCGTGGAGGCTGGGGCGGGCAGTGGTGGCCAGGAAATCGGCCAAGCCAGCCAACAGCAGCAAGGGGCACAGAACCATAACCTTGCCCTAGCCTGGCTTGATTTGTGTGTGTGAATGCAGGAGTGTGAGAGTGCTCTCCCTCAAAGCCCTTCCAAGGCTCCAGCTGGCCACAGGCCCCTGTGGGATCAGGGATCAGCCCCTAAACTGGACCCTGTGGCTCAGGGAGCATCAGCTCCTCTCATTGTCTCATGTTGGCAGCCATGAATTTAAACACCTGGTGACTCTTCCCCCACTACACCAAAGTCACTGCACCCACCACAACACAGCAAGAACTGCTGCCTGTCCTCTGAAAAACAAATCTGGGAATGCCCTCCCATGTCCCCTGACCTGTGAACACAGGGAATGTCACATTTTGTCAGCTTAAATGGCCACTCGAGTCTGGTATTATGTCTCTGATAGTGGTTGCAGTCCTCTTGGGAGGAAGCTGCAAGAATCCCTACAAAGGAGATGGACCAAAATGATTTGGCCTGAGGGGAAGCTTCTTCCCAGCCCCATGCAGTAAGTGGTAGGGCCTTGTAAATCCATGTTAGCGAGGAATATGAGATTGAAAACATAAAAATAAAAGAAAGTTTCCTGCTGAATGGAAAAAAGAAAACTGTTTTTTGGCAGAAGTTCTTCAAGAAGGAGAACATAGGCCATTGTTATTATGAAGACTTTTCAATGAAAACACAGAAAATCATTGCCTTTTAGAGTAATTGTTTAGCTAAAGAAAGGTTACACAGCTTGTAGAGAATTTAGTAAGAAATTAAATCTCTCCAGCTCATTCATCATATTTCTGCATTTGCCAACTCTTCCCACCAGGCCCACACTTACTTCTTCCCTTTCTTCTCCCCCACTGTGGAGTAAGTAATGGCCATAAAACCCACAGAAAGGCAGCCTTACGCACAGGCTTCCTGGTTATTGTGAGGAGGGGGAAAACTCAGTAAGTTTAATTGCTTAGTTTGGGAAATTCTTCTATGTCCATTGTAAATAATTCTATGCTAAATCTACTGGAAATAGGATGCTGAGTGCTGGTTTCCAAAAAAGAGTCTGAACTGTTCACCAGAGCCTGCAAGGAAGAGGAGGAGGAGGAGGAGGAGGAAGAAAAAGCCCAGGAACAACGACCTCCCCTGCTGAGGACTAACCCAGGCATTTTGGGACTGATTTGGCTCCATCCCACTTTGAAGATGCAGCCACATGATGGCATTGGGAAGTTTTCTGTGAATCTTTACCTCTATAGAGTAATATGTGCTTTATTTTTGAGGTGTGCCGTTCTCAGCTCTTTTTAGCAACTGACCTGAGAGTGGAATTTCCTATCCACACTCTCTCTAGGCTCACCCTGCATTTTCAGAGCCATCTCCAGGACATCCTCAAGTTCAGAATGGTATTCCTACACCCTGGGTGGAAGAGGAAACACAGCACCAAAATTCAGGTCATGTGTCAGTAGCCTGATGCCATTGGTGCAAGAGCAAAGCACTTTTTGGACAGAGATCACAACTTTGAATGATCATAAGGGGGCTCCAGGTTTTGGAGGAGAGCAGCCAATATGGGAAAATCCACAGATCCCTGGAGGGTTTGGCAGCAGAGTGATCCTTCTAAGTTCAGCAGAAAGTAGCAGTTCCACACCCCAAAACTGTGTTTTTATACCTGATCTATGCAAATTTCTCTTCTTTACACTCTAAAGATGTTATTCTTTCATGGAAATCGTGTTCTGAACCTCTCACTACATTTTCTGGACAGGCCAAGAGAAAGAAAAGGAACATTCAAGTGTGCTTAGAAGTGCTTTGCAGCTGAAATTGGACACATGTGCTGGCTTAGGGAGGTTACTGTAGGGAATATGGAATTCTTAAGTGTCTGAGTCTAACAAATGCTTCCAAGTTAGTGGTTTTTATCTCCATTCACACTCAGACACGAGCACTACATCCAGCCTCAAGGATGAGTATTCTGATCCTGAGGAGGGACAGTCCTCTGAGCAAGAAGTAGCTCTGACCTGGCTTATAAACAACTCTGCTCAGAACCCCCAAAATAAAAGGCCTGGTTCATTCCTGCAGCCCCTGATGTTCTCTGCCATGTCCCCCACACACCCCTCGAGGTGTCCCTACCCTGCCCCGTGTGCGGAGCGAGGCTTTGGCTCAGCTGTCAGCACAGAGCCACAAAACCCTGCCCTGCCCCTGTCCCCCTGGGCCAGCAGGTCCTGCCTGGTGCCATTCCTGGTCCCTGGGAGCCGGGACCAAGGCAGCAGGGTGTGCAGGCAGCCAGGCCAGGCAGCCCGTGGGGCTCAGGAATAAATCCCATGGCCACGAGCTGCGTGGGGCTCAGCATCCCCTCGGGATGGGGCACGGTGGCAGCGAGAGGCAGGGATGGAAAATCCCCGTGCAGGCAGGCACACAAGTTGGATTTGTGCAGAGGAAAAAAAAAAGAAAAATGTGTGCACTGGTTTCTTTCTTCCATAGGGTGGCAATGGAACCTGGGCACAGAGAGGCTCCGTGGTTTCAGCTGCAGGAGCGAAGCGCTGCAGGAGCTGCATCAGCTTCCCAGTCAAGGTGCTGACTTTGATCTATGGATTCTATACACTTCTAGAGAATGCCCCCAGTGGGGCTGCTTCCCTGCCTGGCTCCTGGAGAGGGGCATCACCTGCACCACGCTCCTCAAATTCCAGTGTCTGGGCAGCAGCGCCTGGCTGCTCTCACAGGAGGACCCTCTCCTCTGGAATTCGCCTCCCCCCTTGCTCTGACAGAGCTCACATCTGCTATCCTACAGGACACAGCATCCAGCTCATTTTTTTTCTCATGCCCTTTGTTTTAAAGTGCTGCCAGTGAAAAATTGCAGGTTGCAGTTTGCTCTCTTAAAAAAAAAAAAAAAAGAAAAAATCGCTTGTGGGGAAGCAAAACGGGTTCTGCCTTGTCTCTGGGAAAGAAAGTAATTGTACAATTAGGTTTGTGGATGCACCTGAGGCATATGGTGGTTTTTTTAGAGATAAATAAAAGCCCAAAAGGAGAAAGCTACAAAGATACCACTGTCTAATTTGGGAAGGGCAGGGAGCATGAGAAGATCTAAAGGAGTTAGCAATTTCCTTGTACTTTAAACACTTTGCTAAACTTCAGTGATTTCCCTCCTAAGTTACTATTGCTCTTCTAAAGATGTATTTTACAGGGTGAATTTTTGTACCTAGTCTTTATAAGGCTGTTCTGCTGAACTTGCTGGTTTTCATACCTGTTATTTTGCTGCCTAGATAAGCTTGTTTAACTTTTGGGGTTTTTCTTAAACTTTATTTCAGTGTTCTAGGCAGGTTACAGGCCTTTTGTTTCAGTTGTTTTGTGCTATAAAGGATGAGGTCTATCTAGAGCTCTCTTGTAGCTGGGTGGCTCTAGGGCCCCACCAGGGAAAGTGTGAAAACCCAAGACCTTTGCTTATTATCCAGGATCTGACAGTGCTTTGGGAATGTGCAAAGGCAGAACCAGGAAGAGCTTCTAGAAATAAGAGCTTCTGTCCTTCTAGAAATAAGTTTTATCTTTTCATACAGAAAGCCAAGGGAATAAATATTTGGGTTTGTGCTTAACTAAGTTTTTAGAAACTACCTGGGATGGATCTGATATAGAGCGTGTTTACATTAGAGAGAGATTTTTCCTGACACAGCTGGTCAGGGCTACAGTATTCACTTTCTCACAGGGTAAAGTGGTTATTCTCTGCCTGGGTGCCTGCAGTGGGAGGAAGTTTCTGTTCCCTGCATCCTCATACCCTCCCTGTGCAGGGCACATGGGCCAGTGGCAGGTAGGAGTGATTAGATGGAGCAGGCATGTGTTTCTCAGGAGCTGTTTTTAGCATCCCAAGTACAATTTCCAGGAAGGTGTAGGCTAAGTAGGTGGCAAACAGGACTCAGCATAGTAAACAATGTTTAGTGTGAAGTGGAGCTGCAGCATGATGAGTACAGAGCACGCAGATCCCTAAAAGAATTTTGTACCCTAGAGCAAAGCCAGGGCATTAGAGAGCAGCAAGCAGCATTTGGAGTGCTGAGTGGCAAACCCTGGTCACAGGTTGCTGGTTTAGCATTCCCAGCTGCACACACTCCCAGCCCATAGCCCGTGTTTCACTATTAATTTTAGGAAAAAACCACCTCAAAATTCAGACCCCTTTATTCACCTTGGTGCTACTGAGAGGCTCGTCCCTAATTAATGAGATGGGACTTTCCCATCCCTCCACCATTCTCCGTATTGCAAGTCCTTGGCAATATGAGAGACGTATCTATTACTTAGTCATGAGGTATCCAGACCAACTTGCTTTTGAAACCAGAGCCCCTGTACCCCAGGCATCCTGTATTTCTGATTTGCATATGGAAAAGGCAGTTAAAAAGCTGATGCCCCCATATTGCTTGCAAGTCAAGTAGCAAAAGTAAATGATTTATCAAGCAAAGGTTACAACACCTGTGCCTTTTTGTCAACATATCCAGGGGATGCCAAGTCAAGTGCTGCTTCTAATAGCTCAAACAGAAATTTAGATTCAAATAACCCCCAAGACAGGACAATTGTGCAGTGAGTGGAGTGGCAGAGTGATGGACAGTGTAAGCAGTGGATGCAAAACCAAACCTACTGAAAAGTTTGGAAGCTGCTAAAACCAGGCAAAGCCAACAGCCCTTTGGGGGCTTTTCTTACCAAATCAGAACTACTGACTTAAAACAGTTTATTTCCCCATCTGTCCTGTGATGGAGTGGTTGTCCTGTTGCAACCTTTGTTGACACAGGAAGATGGCTTTTTAATGAGTATTATATAAATGCTATAAAATTCCTTTAAGAGGTTATATTTGCCACAATATGACATAAATCAGAACATAGCGCTAATGGAAATGTCTACTGATAATTTTTCTAATATTGATTAAGAAAGGCATGTACTGGGTTTGGTTGTTTAGAAACAGCCCAGGACAGAATAATCCTTGCCCCAGCCCACTGTACATTTGCCTGGGATTTTATTCCAATGTTCTGGGAATGCCCATGTATGGGAATTGTGGCTCCTGCTACGTGGAACTGACACATCCCTGTGCACAGACTCACTTCTGCAGCACTTGAAGACTAATGATGATGATTATGATGATGATGATGTGTAAATAGTGCTTATAGTGCAATGTTCCACCAAGATAACATCAGAGCCACCAAAAATCTGACTAAAATATTTTCATATGGGTTGTAGCTGGACCATAGTTTTTAAAAACCAGATGTTCACATACAGCCTTCATTTTTATTTTATTGTTTCAGCATAAAGAGTTGCTTAACCCTTATATTTAAGCTTGACTTCCAGAAGCTCGGAGTGTTCCCTGCTTCCTCTTGTCTCAGGGAGCTGTGTCCCTGGCAGCTAGTGGTCCTCAGGACCTGTATCTTAGCCTGACTCTGGATGTACCCTACAGATCCCGATGGAAAGGAGCCACCCCAGCTGCTTTTAATAACACAGTCCTATGTGTTTTTGCATTTTCATTTTGAAAATATCCTAAGTGGTCGTTCTATACACTAATGCCCTGCAAAAAAGAGCACAAAAGCCTGTCTTTGTTTAGAGGAATGCTACATAAATCCCAAATCATTGCAGTTAGCACTTCTACCTCACTTCTCTGACTCAAAGCACAGTCAACTTCAGAGTCCTTTCATGAATAAGTAGTGAGTTTGCTGATAAATTATATATTTAGTATCAAGTGGGTTGTGGTGGTGTAATGATGTATAGAAGCAGGGAGATGCAGCTGGAGTCAGAGACTGGAAGTCAGTCTCCTTGCCCACTGCAGCATGTTAGACTTTAATTGAAAGCTGTGCTTGAGTATTGTTTTTCACTGTACAGCATTGTTATTCACTACACTGCATTACAGAGGAGCACTTAAAGTAACGCTAGAGCACTTTAAAATGATTTAAGTCATAAATAAGGAGGATAAAAGTTTACAGTCAACAAACTTATCTGCGAAACTTAGGCTGCAGGATGCAAGTAAGTTTTAAATATCTTTGGAGACTTAATACTGTTGTGTCTTACTACATAATCAATTTACCAACTAGGAGTTTTTCAAGTCTCCTGGAAAAGGTAAGTAGCATTCTCCAAAGGGTTTCAGGTTTCCTGAGCTATTGAAGGAAAAGACCAAATGCTTAAGGACTTTAGCAGCACACCTTAACATTCCTGTTTCCAGATTTCAGCGTATTTCTGTGTATTCCAGTTGCTTCCAAAACAACTGAAGAAATATGATTTAAATGGGAAAATGCATGAGAACTTGTCACACCATGAACCCCATAAAGCACAAGGCTGGAAAAGTGGGGTGCAGGCTGAGTTTTGCTAAGGCATGAAAAAAGCCCCCAGAATCGGATGGGTTAAACCCCTCTCTGCATTGCTGCTGTACTTTCTGTGACCCTATTTAATGCAGAGAAGGTTTGAGATTCGATATAGTTTAACCTGTGCTGTGCACAGAGCTATAAACTAAAACCCCTAACAAATTGTACACAAAGAGCAGAAAGCAAAAAATCACGTTGTGCTCACAGGCAGCTGCTTGCAGCCCTGTAAACTAAAAATCTTTGGGAATGAGTGACCTGTGTTTCAGTGACAGTGGAGGTGCTGAAGCCATCACAACGAGGAGTCTGTCTTCATGCACCTACTGTGGCATGTGACAGCCATTAATCTGCACACTAATTATTCAGAAGCCTATAAACCATTTGAAAGAACTTACAAGAGCCAAGGGTAGTAATGCCCAGTTTGCCAGTTATTTGAATTACTGCTTTTTAGTCACTGCAACCAGCTCAAAACAAAATCACAAATACTTTGTGTAGCTGACCTTTAAAAGAATTGCAACGTAGTCAAGCAATCACTTCAAACTATAAACTACAGTTGCACTAACTTTGCTCACTTTTTTATACCTTCCCCCCCCCATGATAACGTGATATTAAGCCCAGACTTAATTTTTTCAACATCTGGCTCAAATTAGCTGCTAACAAAACTGCCAACAACTATTTTCTTAATCGACCCTGGGAATTTGATATAGCTTGGAAAAAGCACATTTAAATCTCGTCCTTCTCCTAAAGAAACACAAATGTTTACTTGAGCTTCTGATTTGACCATAGCAGGACCATGAATTCAGCTAACCCAGCTTTATAGGCCTGCCTCAACTGGACTTTTTTCTCTTTGCATAAGGAAAACAGATGTGCTCACAATCACAAAAATCTCCCGCTCGCTCAAAGCCCACCATGCAAATGGCCAACCAGGAATATGAGTATTTTTTTTTACATGGAAGTCACTGGAGCAGTCTCACGTTGTGTCTGCTGGGGGACTACAGGGCACTGTTACCCCATGGGTCTCTCTGAGCTCCTTTTGCATATCACTGACAGGTCTGGTTTGGGTTGGGAGGGACCTTAAAGATCGTCTTGTTTCATGGGACACCTTCCACTAGCACAAATTGCCTCAAGCCTTGTCCAACCTGGCCTTGGACACTCCCAGGGATCCAGGGGCAGCCACAGCTTCTCTGGACAACCTTTACCAGGGCCTCCCCACCCAAGGAAGGGTTTCTCCTTACCATCTAATCTAAAGACAATTAAATGCAGTGCCTGGGGAGCAGGTTGGAGCCAAAGCCTTTAAAACCCCGTCCCTAGAGCAAACAACTGCGTGCTGGGAGCCAACACCTTAGAAAGCAGAGAGAGGTCCTTCCAGTTACAAAGCAGCGTTATCACCACACAAGCCCCCCCAAAAAAAGAAGAAAAAAACCAAACAAAACAAAGAAACAAAGAAAAAAAACCACAACAGACAAACAAACTGCAAAACTGCAAGTGACATTTCACTGTAGTTACTGAGACCATGTGGGTGAAGTGACAGCGGCAGTGCAGCTGCTCCGTGGGGACACGTTAGAGGACACTGGAGGAGGAGGAGAAGAGGCTGCAGGCAAACAGAGAAGTCGAAAGCGGCCCACCTGAGTCTGTTGAGGGATATTTACAAAGCTTGGATCCCGTGGTCCAACACTGACGAATCGGTTTGCGGGGGAGGTGCTGGGTGTCGAGTAGGCTGTGAAGGGAAGGGACACATGCGTTGAGGAAGCGGCACTAGATTGCACACGAACAACACCAAAACACACTGTCTCAGAGCCACCTAAGCAGATGTTTGACATAGAAATGTGCGAACGTTTTAGAGAGCGAGAGTTCGGTTTGAGACACTGGAAAGGCTTGGGCTTAATGGTGAGGGGATCAACACGTAGGGGACTGGGCTGCTGGGAGAGGGGACGGCCACAAATGTGGGCTCAGGGGAGGGTGTGCGGCTCTCCAGCCTGAAGGAGAACCACTGGAGGCCTTTCCATGATGGGCTGGCACGGGAGATTTCTGCAGGTCCTGACTGTTTTCACTCGAATGGCTGGTATCTCTATTTTTAACAGAGTTTTGTATAGCAATGAAATTATCTAAGTGCTCATTAACAGAATCAGACCCTTTATTTCATGCTAATCCAGCATTCTCTCTGGATATAAAGTTTTGGTTTTCGTACTGCTGTGGTCTGCACTCTCTAAAATGTTCACTTGATGTGTTTGACAAACTAGGAAGATCCTTTCGGTAAAAAATTAATGGGTTGCAGTTTCACTGGGGTGGTAAGTGCAATCAGTCTGAAGGCTGAAGCTGCCTTTAAAAACTGGAGTGGCTCCCATAAATGTAAAGCTATTAAATGCAATGCAAGCCAAGAACCCAGATTACTTCCAAACTTGAAGTACTTTAATGATTTTATTGTTGCATTATATTCTCCACTGCAACTGTCCACAATGCCACGTACTTCCACATCCAAAAGCTTTCAATGCATTTTTAGTCTTCCTCTCATTTGAAAACCCTCAAGCAATCTTCTCTCTTCCTCAGTTTTTTGCATGTTTAGATCTAAATTCAAATAACGCAAATAGATGCCTTAATACAAAGAGGGCTCCTATCTATTTTGAATGTATTTATGGGAATGCATTCTGCTGAATAAAATCCCCAGACAACCTAACTATCCAATGAAGAGACAAAAAAACAATAGAAAAGGAAAGTTACTTGCCAAATTCCAGTCAGGCTAAATATAATGTTGAGGCCTCAACATTACAGAAAAGTAAAGCAAGTTAAGAGTCAGAGAAGACACTAATTTGGTTGTGTGGAGGAAACTCTTTTACCTTTCTGAAGGCAAATGTTTGGTGAAGAGGAATTACACTGGAGGAGCCTTTGGTTTAAGACTGCCAAATCAGATCACTGCTCCACCTTGGCCATTGTCACCTGTCTTAGAAGTCATAAGCAGATGCAACCAAAACAGGTCACATATTTACTTTCTCCTATTCTTTCCCACCTCTGATTATTTTCAGCTCAGGGACTTCCTGTATTTAAGGCCCTGGAGGGATTTCTCACCCAATGCCCAGTCTGTACTTGACCAGTGTGGGTGTTCTGCCTCCCACAAAGCCCTTGGGTGATGAGTTCCCAGGTCTAGGAGCATGCAGAACCACATCCTTTAAGTCTCACAAGTGTCTTGTGATGCCTTTTAGCTCTTACAGTTCATCAGTAATCTTCCCTTTCTCAAGATTCCCTGAAATCACCCCAGGAACTGCATATCTTCATTTCCTACTGATATGAAGGGAGATAAGGCACTCCTGGATTCTAAGAAGGAATTTTTCCCACTTGTTTCTGGTGAGGCGAGCTTTTCCCTCCAAGAAGCTAACACTTGCAAAAATCATGCAAGGAACACTTCTCTTTCACAAAGTCTTAAAGGAATTTTTAAGTGCAATAATTCATCTTCCTGAGACAGTTTTGCAAATTGTGGTGCAGCTTGAATGTTGTGAACAGGTAAGCTGGATGTTACTCTTACCTGCAAATCAAGGAAGAAATTTATTGAGTAGATCTGGTGAGATGTTCTCGTCACTGTTTCACCATGTTAATTTGGTTAATAATTCAAAGAAGCCACACATTTGCAAAGGGCATTTCCCTGTTGCTAGTGCCTTACATTAAGATTCTTCTGTGCTGTCCTTTGTGGAGGTTTGGTTTTTTTTTTTAACTAACTAATGAACTAATGTTGTGCAAGACTAAGAATTCCTTCTGCAGTGGAGAAAATTAACTTAGAGTTTAAAAATCAAACATCTGTTGTTTGGTTCTCATGGTCTACTTTTAAAGAAGCAAAGAAGCAGATTGAGTGGAGAGGCCATTTAATCCCTTGGAGCAGGTAAGTTCCACCCAGAAGGGAAGGAACTCAAGATCTTGTTTACAGTTCCCCGCTGGCAGATACTTTTGCTGTGATATTTGGTAGAAAATCAAAGCGGAACCAGCAGAATGCTGACTTAAATGGCTTCTCTGTTCAAACAAAAAATTCTAAAGCATTTGAAAAGTGTGTAATATGCACAAAAGTCCCTGCAAAGCTCGCTGGGTGAGTTGCTATGTATACCTTCCTTCCGCTCCAAATGATGTTTAACTTGCTTTCTGAAAATACTCAGATGTCAGCTTGGTATTTCCTTCAGGTCATATAACTGCATTGCTGAAGCCAAGGAGGGAAGAGCACCAAAATGACAAATATGCAGAGGATTTACACTGGACTCTCCCAAGGTGCTGTTCCCTCTTTGCTGTAAAATGTCCCGGGATGTTTGTGGATTGGAAGGGGCCATTTTGGCTTGGAATTTTATTAAGCTGACATGGAATACACATTCCCCTGTTAGGGGGAGATTTGTTTCAGGAAAGGGAGTAGTACTGAGTGTTGCTTAGACCATGATCAACTTCCAGCTGCATCTTACTGTCTTCAGATAAATACTCTTGGTTGACATGGAGGTGGGATTCCTGGAAGTCTGATCCCTAGACTTTGCCCCAGAATTAGGATGGGCAAACTGTCTCACTGGATAAAGCTGGGTCACATTGTATTATAGCATAAATATAAGTTGAGCCTATGCTGGGGTCTTCAAACTCCAGTTTGGGAAAAGTCAAAGCATGGAAAGGAACAAGGAACAGCAGCCAGGTTTCTTAGGCAGATCTCAGATTTTATCAGCTTTGCTCCATGGGAATTGCAGAGACCTACCCTGGTTCACACCAGCTGATGGGTGTCCTGTTGGGCACGAATAGCAACAGCTTCCTGCCCAGCCTGCTCTTTCTGCTACTGGAATTCAGTAAGGATTGTCTGTAACATCACAGCCCACAGCCAAGGAAATGAATGTGATGCCACAAATTTGCTATGATGCTTCACTTCAGGAACAAGCAAAACAGGAGCTGGCAGAGAAAGAACATTTGCTCACACAGACAGCTTTGATATTTAGCCAAAATGGCAAGAAATTGTATGAAAGACAAGACAAACAAACAGTTTTGGGGATGTTGTGTGTTTTAAAGTTGCGTGCAGTAGGGAAATGTTGTTTTTAAATATACTTTCCTGAAATAATTGCTATTGAGAGCAGGAGTGTGTAATTTATCATCGTTCTGGATTAAAAGGATTGGTAAAGATGATTTAGGTGAGTGATGACCTAATGTACCACTAGGTCTCCCTTTTACAGACCAAGATGACAGGTACATGTGTTTGATGTGAAGAGTTGTCCTGTTTCTCAAGCTGCAGCAAGAGGATTAAGTGGAGGAATGTGGTGCAGTAGAACAATTCCTACTGCAGTGCATTCTGCAGCTGAGTGTCAGAGGGAACTGCAAATTTTAGCAAATTGAATGAGAATCAACCCTCTTTTTTCTGGATGGGGAAAGGAGCGAACAGAAAGCTCAAACTTGCCCAGAAGGTGCTCAGTCAATGCATAGCAGAGGAAGGGAGAGAAAGCCAATCTGATTGCAGGATCATAGAAATGTTTAGGTTGGAAAAGACCTTTAAGATCATTGAGTCCAACCCCTACCCCAGCACTGCCAAGGCCATCACTAACCCATGACCCTAAGTGTCACATCCACAGGGCTTTTAAATCTCTCCCAGGGATGGGGACTCCACCACTGCCCCTGCTCCAGTGCTTGACCACTATTTTGAAGACATTTTTCCCAATAACCAACCTAAACCTCCCCTGGTGTGACCCAAGGCCATTTTCCCTTGTCCTGTCCCTGTTCCCTGGGAGCAGAGCCCTGCTACTCCCTAGCTGTCCCCTACTGTCAGGAGTTGTGCAGAGCCACAAGGTCCCCTCTGAGCCTCCTTTTCTCCAGGCTGAGCTCCCTCAATTCCCTCAGCCTCTCCTGGAGCTCCAGACACTTCCCCAGATCCATTCCTTTCCCTGGACACTCTCCAGCACTTCAGTGTTTTTCTCTTGGATTTGAGGTGTGGCCTCACCAGGGCCCAGCACAGGGGACAGTCACAGCCCTGGTCCTGTGGCCACACCAGAGCTGATCCAGGCCAGGTGCCTTTGGCCTTCTTGGCCACCTGGGCACACTTGGACTCATGTTCAGCTGCTGCTGACCAGCATCCTCAAGTCCTTTTCCAGCTTTCCAGCCACTCTGTCCCAAGCCTGGAGGGCTCCACGGGATGTTGTGACCCAAGAGCAGGACCTGGTACTTGGCTTTATGAATCCTGTACTACAGCCACAAGATTGTTCTCCTCATCCTGACATGAATGCCATTTAACAAGAAAACTCTTTTGTTCAAAGGGACGTTAACCAGTAATGAGTTCCTTTAAGTTAAGAGTTGTGAATCTCAGAAAATAGCACTCAGTTTTAAAAAGCTGGTTAAAAGCCCGGGCGTACAGGATGGCAGTATCTTAGGCTGCTCTGGAATGATTTAATTATATAGTGATAAAGCCCAACTGGAATGTAGTGGAGGTGGTGTTTGCTTTGGGTAGTGACATACTAAACCCCAAAACTGCCAAGTTCAAGAAAATAATGTGTTGTGTTTGTAATGGGATACCAAACAAAGAAAATCAAGAAGAGATCTGAGATAAGATAATGTTTGGTCTGCTTCTGATATCAAAGATATGTCCTATTGAAAAAGATTTTGTGGAGGAAAAATGAACCTCCCAAACCTTGTGAATCCCATCTCCATTGTGCCATCTGACTAAGGAAAATACTGGCTTTCCAAAGGGACAAGATTCACAGATGAAATTGTCAGCTCCCAGAGCATGCCTGGCCACCCAGTAGTGGCAAATCCCCAGCGTGCATCTCCAGGGGCTCTTCCTTCCTTGGACAGCACTAATGTTCATGTTTTGGTTAATGTCACAGCTGGAGAGTTTCACTATTGCTCTGAGAATCATTAACCACCTTGTTGTGATTTTTAGCTCTCGTTCCCAGGAGGCCATGCTGTATTGAACAGCTGCTCCTGGCTCCTGCACCCCTCAGGAGGGCCATATTCCAATTTTTGGTTGGGCCATGACTGCATTTTGTTTCTGCTGAGGGCTTTCTGCTAGACCAAAAAAGGGAAGGAGAATGGAGCAAATGCCAACCCCTTTCACTCCATTTCCTCGGGAGGAGGGGGGATCATTCTCTTCCATACGGCTGAGGAGAGAGTCTGGCCAAAATTTAACATCACTCCTGCCTTTGTTGCATTAGTGACTTTCCAATATCCTCAAGCCCTGCGGGGCAGTCAGCCATAGCCCGGCGACACTCCCAGAACCGGTGCGCTCCAGCAGCTCGTAACCATGGAAAACACCTTTTTGTGAGGCTTTTATGGAACTCTGGTGAATCTGCACTCGCTGTTTGAAGGCTAATATTTAGTTAAGGAAAAAATAAACAGGGAGGGAAATGGAGGGTTGGTCCTGATTGACACACTGAATGGAGCCCAGTGGGTCCTGCTGGCAAACCCTGGCTGCGACACCTCAAACTTCAGTTTGCTTTCCTCTTTAAGTGGCCAATGCTTCCACTGGCTTTGGTTTACATGTCATAGTTTTTCTTAGAAAATACGTCATATAATCTATTTTTCTGTAAAATGTGTCCCTAAATTAAATTATATGCTTCTTTACAACTTGAGTCACTGTTATTCAAACCCCTTACCAAAAGGAAGATGCGTGCCTGAATATGTACAGAACTATATGTTTAGTCATCAGCGTGGCTAATTAACAAACAGTAATTATTTTCCTAATCTTTAGTTTAAATACCATTAAACGGCTGCTCTTGAGAAAACCTCCATTCCCAATTAACGTGGCAGCTGTCTGCTGAACACAGAGCCCAGTGACCAGCCCCAAGCAGACACCGATGGGTGTCCTGCTCACTTCAGAGGAGAAATACCCATTTTTCTGCCAGCTGAGAATCTGGCTAGACACACCCTGGGCTTGTTTACACAATCACAGTATCATAAAAAATTAAGATTAGTGCTCAAATGTTGTTGGGAATTTTTTTCTTTTCTTTTTGACACCAGACACTGCCAGTAAACTGAGTCACAACCGTAATGACAAGTACACACTGACCTAGTTTTGTTTTTCCCGGTTCTGAAGGCAAGGAGATAGTAAGGCACTGCTGACTGTGTTCAGTGATAACTATGACTAAACATTAACCTTTTAGATCCCACCGCTGAATCTTATTGATAGGACTCAAAAGTCCCCTCGGAAAGTGTCAAAACTTCCTGATAGCACCAGTGTTGGTCTAAGGTCAGAAAGAGGAGCGGAGGGGAGGGAATGAATCAACTTCTTCACTCAACAAAAATCTGCTGATCAATTCGAGAAGTCCTGATTCTAGAAGATCGTGTTCACAATCTCACCAGACTGTCTCATGCTAAAACCCATTTCCATTTCCAAGCGAGCCAGAGCATCTTGCTGAGTTTGCAGTTGATGCACTATCGTGTAGCAGAAGGCAATGAAAACCTCTGAGGAACTACCAGATTTTAAAAATGCCCCCTGGAACCTGTGCAAGTCTCCTGAACAGTATATAAAGCTTTAAACATGTAGGCTTCACTTGGTCTGAAGAGTGAGTACCTCTTTGCACATCAAGCAGTGGTTGCATATAGCATTTAAATAATAAGCTTGAACAGCACACAAAGGGATTTGCTCTTTCGATTAGATTGATTTTTGTTTGTGGATGTTATTTGGACTCCCTTCACTGTGGAACAAGTCCCCTACAGTTACCATTAAAGCACTGAAAGCTTCCCTTTTGTTTTTAAATGTCAGTTTGAGCATAGCTTCATTAAATCATTTCACAATTAACTCCCTGAACATCCAGAATTTTTTTTTTTTAAAGCATCAGACACAGCTGAATTGCATTTGTTTCCCAGAAGAGTGACTCCAAAGTGGTATCCCCAAGTGTGCATCCAGGAATTCGTAAATTTGACTTGTGGCTACACAAAATGCATATGGGAGCCGTGTGGGTGGTGGGAGAGGATTAGAGCTTTCTCCCTGGCCTTAAGACATACCAAAATTTCTTGCTTAAATTCATGGCATAAAGGAAAGATGTCTGGCTTAATCTGGGAAGATTTACTCCCAAAAGAATGACAACTGAAGTAAACTGGAAATGGTTGTTAGTTTAGCCCAGTGTGTATAAGAAGGGATTTTTCAAGGAGATTGCTTGACTTCCATGTGGGATCTATCCTCTAAAACCTGGCTTGAGATACCAGCTTACCACAGAACCATGGAATAGTTTGGGTTGGAAGGGACCTTAAAGATCACCCAATTCCAACCCCTCTGCCACAGGCAGGGCCACCTTCCACTAGATCAGGCTGCTCAGAGGCCCATCCAGCCTGGCCTTGAGCACTCCCAGGGATGAAATATCAACTTGAATCCCCACAGCAGCAAACAAGACCCCGAAGATCCGAGCTCTGTGTCACAGCTGAGCCACCGGCCTCGATTTGCCTCGCACGTGGTTATGTGAAATGCCAACCAAGTCAAAAATAAAACTGCAACCTTGAGCTAAGGCTTTCCCTGCTGCTAACGCAGCAGCAGCTCAGAGTTTTGTCCATGGTGGAGAGCAGAGAGCTCTCCTGCTTCCCAAGGTGTGTGCAGTCCTTGTCCCTGCACAGCCGAGCGCCGGCGGTGCCGGTAGCCCGCGGATCCCGCTGCGTCTATACTTACTTGGAGAAGTGGGAGAGGTGGCCCCTCCTTCTGTTGATGTGGTTGGAGGTTTTGTGTCTGGCACTGGCAGAGGCACAGGCCTAGCCATTGGTGGCGGAGGTGGTGGTGGCAACATTGGGGTAGGAAGGAATGGATTGTGCACCTTGCCTTGGCTGCTACCATTGGGCTGCCGAGAAACAAGCAAACAGACAAAAATTATACTAAAAATCAGCTATTAGGAAGCTCCAGTAAAAACAATCTAGTTAAAAACCGTGTGCAATACATTTACAATTACTTGAGAGGCGGCAAAAAAAGTGCTGGCTGAAATTCTCCATGGACTTCAAAGAACTTTGTGTCAAACTCTGTGAACCTTGTGAAACTGTGGCAATTCTGGCTTTTAAATGCTTGTTCTATTAGCAGCTTGTCTGAACTAAGATTAAATTGTCCTGGATTAAATTCTACTCCTCTTTACATTTCCTGCAGCACTAACCCATGCTCAGTGAGAAGTGAAGCAGTATTTTTGACCCCTAAAATCCCCCAGTTTCGTGCCTCTGTTATACCCTCAGGATATCATTGTTTAGGACTTGAGTGTAAATTTCTTAAAGATACTGCTCATTAAGAGAAAAAACAAGCATTTTTGGTGGTCTTAAAAATCATGCTGATATCTCATTACAGGAAAATGAATGAGTGTATATTAAAATAACTGCTCTCCCACATCCCTTTTGAGTTAGTAATAGTGTAGTTCTTGGTTTAGCTGCCATTAGGATCATATGGAGGAATGACTGAACTTAGAACAGCTTCATTTTACACACTGGGAGAAAAAACCACCCTCCCTTCAGTCTTGGGATGTGGTCAGTCACAGGCTGAAGGGGATCAGCTATATGAGTGTGGTCTTTCAATTAATCATCAGAAAAAATGTGTCCATAAGTAAAAGTGTTTTCAAGTATCACAAAAACAGGGATCAGGCTTAGAAAAGCATGCCAACCCTCCCCCCTGCTTATTAAGTTTACATTTTAAATGTAACCCAGCCTGGACACTTGAAAACCATACAGATAGATGCCAAATACCATTATAAAGAGAAAGTAGGACAGGCTGTGAATCAGGTGTTCCATTTTAGTGACAAAAATGATGAGATCATTTTCGACAGCACTCTACAAATTGATCTCACTGCAGCTCTTCTGGCACTGAACATTGGCTTTTCCATTGATGATAAAAGCTCAGCTTTAAACACAGATCCATATTCTAAGTACTGCTAAAGAAAATAATGTTTTAATTCCTGATAGGGTTTCCATTAGCCTGAATTGCCTGGGACAAAATTCTCATCCTGGCAAAACACTTGGGACTTTATTTTCATTTCACCTGCTTTGGCACTGACAAAAGGCCTTAAAGTCGTGGAGGTGCAAATCACACTTGTGCTAGAGCAGAAATGGTTCAGGGGACAAGTAAGACTCAAGTTCATCTGCATTTAACTTAGCAGCACTCCCACAGCCTTCAAAGACTGCAGTTACTAGAGTTTGCAGCAAGAAGCAATCCTTCAGAGGTGTTTATTTTTCCAACATCCAGCACCTTTAATAAACTAACATATTAGTGACATCTCTCAAGCACTATCTTGTCTCCCAATTAGGTCCCTTTCCTGCCAAGAAGACCCCTGCTGCCTGTTCATTGTGAGTGTGCTAACAGTTCATAATGCTGAATGGTTTGGGATAAATTAAGCAAATGAATACTCAAGGAAAAAGAAAAGCACTGTATTGATTTGTTGTCTAGACATAAATGTATCTGCTAAAATATTGCAGACATTATTCAAAGCCAGGAATGGCTGGAATAAGTAGAGTCAGTTTTTCTGCTGGGGAAAGGAAAACACTGAGAACAATACAGTTTATTAAATAAGTGTAATAAATTAGATGCTAATAATTAAACTAATTCTCATTAACACTTTCAGTACGTCAGGAGAGAAGCAGTAATTTTGCCAGTTATTACTTCATTGGCTGGAAAAAGTTACATGCATTACATTTCATGAAATATTCAGAGCATCATTTTAGATTTGATTTACATAAAATTTATAAATTCTGTATTCGTCCAGAATGCTATTTCAATAATAGCAAGATGATTCACTTTATTTGATTAAAAAAAAATGAAAATGGTTATTTGAAGCTTTGAAAATCTGCTTAATTTTTCATAGAGATAAGGGGAAAAGATAACTGCTTACAGAAATAACAAACCATAATAAACTGTACTTTTAACATCTTGAGTTCAAGTACTGGTCAACTTGATCTAAAGTGCTATAAGGCAGTATCTTTTTTTTTTTTTTTTTTAATGAACTTAGCTGATCTGAAACATCTGTTTCTCACCCTCCCTTTTCCTGCTCTTTCCCCCCCATTCTCCCCTGAACTTCAAAAATAATTAATAAAAAATATTCTGCCTTCGTATTTTGTTAACCCTGGTTCCACAAGGGTTACAACACATGCAGCAAAGTCGTTTGTGGGGGGACCCAGCAGGTCACTGAAGCACCAGTTTCTCAGACACTTTATGCTACTTCCACCACAATGTGGTCGAGTGTTTTTTTGGGGAGGTCTCTTGTTGTTTTTAAAAATACTTTTGCAGCACAGCATTATTATTATTATTATTTTGTTTTGTTTTGTTTTCCCTTCCAACAACTACTCAAGGTGCGCTCCTTCAGGCGACATGCTGTTAAAATAACCCCATCAATAACCCCGTGGTTAATTTTTACAAAGGACAAACACTTCTGAAGAAAGAAAAACGGCTTCCTTACATTTAGGAACCCCACCTGTCCAGCCTGCTGACCAGCGTCGGGGCAGACAAGTTGGACAAACTCTTTCAGAGTCTCCTGAGGATGATAGCGGATTGCTGGGTGTGAGAAGTATGGCCCAGGCTGTTGAATAATGGGTGATGTTGGAAAATGAAGAGTCGATGGTGTTGCATGTGGACTTGCTATAGGAAAGAAAACAAAGACGTTATATAGAGTTTTGCCTCTGGAAAATAAAACAGTTTAAATCTGTTGTAGTTTTAAGTAGCTTTTTTTTGTTGTTGTTGTTGGTTTGTTTATACATTAATTAATATATTAGACCACATTGTGTCCTACACTCACTTCATCTAGATCCTGGAAGCAAAAGGAGCCAGACATTTTGAAGGATTTTCTGTGTTTTTAGTGGACACGTAGCAAGGAATCAGCAATCCTTTGTGAGAGTGAAAACTATTCATCACCTTAAGAGCAGCTCTCATCAATCAGGCAATAAAAAAATGTATTTAGGAGATTAGGGTTGATATAATTGACATTTCATGTAACTTGGATTTGCACATACCAATCCATTTTACATTGTAGTATAAATGGTCAATAATTTAAAAACGGTCTAACGCTTCTTGTTGTTGGGTTTTTTTTCCAATCTCACTTCAGGAACATTTATTTTAAGTAACGTGTTTTCGTTTAATGAACATGCACTAAGTGGCGAGATCGTTTGGAAAATTACATTTACATTTCTCCTGAATAACGCTGGGCTCAAATCTTCAGCAAGCCCCCAGCTCGCTCTCGGGGATGAAGTTTAATTTGGTGAATTTATGGGGCCAACAAGCCAGCTGGAAAATGTACTCCAAGGAAGGTGCAGAGGTGTGATGTACACGAGCCCATTGGCAATGACCGATTTTACCCTCTGATTTCAGCAGAACTACAAGTGCAGCTCCAGAGCCTTTTGCTCTCCTACATGATGTGACACCTTTGCCCAGTTCCTTGGCCTTCAAAATATATTGTGTTGGACTCTTGTTACCCAACAGTGCTTCCCATTGTTAGCTGTCACCACGAGGCAGCAACTGCTGCCACTTACAGTGCCATGAATTCTCCCTTTAAAATGAGGATTTGCTCTTCCTTCAGAATGACCAATTAATCTGGTTGCACACAAGCTCATCTGTAAATCATTGTTTATTTCTCACCAAACAGTCATCGTTGCTCCCTAGGAGTCTTTCAGGGGTGTCCATGTGCAGAGATTGAGCTCATACACTGCATATGACCAATTAGATAAAGGCTATGCAAGGGAGGGGAAATCCTACAGAAACTCAGGTGTTGGCTTGGAAGTAATTTAAATACACAAGAGGGGAAAAAAAAAAAAGCCTTTGGCACTTTTGGAAAAAATTGGAGAGATGCAGGAAAGTTAACTAAAATCAAACACAAATGAGCAAACATTCATTTCATGATGAATGTTATGAAAAACCTTCAGTTAAATAAAAGCTAAAATCTGCTTCTTACTCTTGTTCATTGCCAGTTTAATAATATGACACTTTATTAATATTTTTTTTTTCTTTAGCATTATTAAACCACTAGCAAACTCAAGAGCCTGAGGATGTGGACAAAACGTGAACTCAGACACAGCAGCAAAGAAACTACTGTGTTTTCCTGTAAACTTTCATTAAGGGTTGTCTGGGCAGCCCTTCTATACATGTCCTTTTCCACCACAGGATAGGAATTATTGCTCTGACACCACCACCAAAAAGAGCTGCACTCATGCCAGGGGTGCTGGTATGGGATGGATGTGAAACCCTTGCCCTTGCCATGAAAAGCTCCCCTGTGTCCACGTTAACCCCACAATTCTGCTCCCTTTAATGCTGTTGAAAATATTCCCAAGGAAAAGAGAAACATCAAAGGTAGAGATAAAAGAGATAAAGGGGGATTCCTTTCTGTAACTGTGAGTGAGCACCATGGAGACAATTATTACAATGGACAGAGAACTCAACAGTGCCCAAAGAGCCACCTCACCCCAAAATAATCCCCTGGCTTTGACTGGTGCTGCTCTGAGGTTGACACCTCCATTCTACCCACACACCTCCAGTCAGGTAGATCCCAGCCAGCATTTTGATGACTGCAACAAAATTTTTATTAGTCTACAGTATTTCTGTCTGCCTTCCTTTCTTTGTATCTGCTTTTGTAATTCCCCTTTTCCTTGTGTGCCAGATGGAATATGAAGGATGAAGATAAAAGTGAGAAATGGACATTTATGTGACGAACATCTAATTAAGTAAGGAATAAATTGGAATTTCTGAAATATAAAAAGAGAATTTCCTTTTAGTATCAGCTTTTTTAATACCATTTGAAATTGTTATGCAATTGCACTGTCCTTTATGAACAAACTCATTTCTGTTTGTCTGCTGAGTGAAAAGGAGATTGACATACATCTCAGACAAGAAGGAATAAAGGATTGTATCCAGGGAACACGTGGGAGTTCAAAGCTAGGCCTGAGACAACACTGTATTTAGCTTTTCCAAAGTATGGCTCTTCATTTAATAATTTGATTTGCTGTGAGAAAGATGAAAGAAATACTCAGTGGCATGTAAGGAGCAAGCCTTTTTCTGCTGTCCTGACCTCCTCGGCGTGTCAGGGTAGAAAAGAAAGTGGAGAATGTGTGCCAGTGACCTGCCCAAAGAGAGAGAGAAGCAAAACAAATGCAGAAATGACCAACAATAATTCAGCACAGCAAAGTGCTGCAAGGAGAAAGTGGCTCCTCTTCGGAGCCTTGGCCAACTCCTCAGCCCATCTCCAAGGGCTCCCTGCTGATCAGGGAAGGACTGGGGAAGGGAAACAAGAAAATTGGTGTAATTCCTCAGCCTGTGCCATACACTGATGTGGAGGGGTCATTTTCTTCTTAGCATAAGGAGTAACGAGTGCATTAAGGATCTCCAAAGGTTTGTTTTTGCAGTCACTGACGAGGAAATAGCAAATTTCTCAAGTGCCAAAAGAAAGGGCTCTTTGATAAGGGGAGAAAAACCACTACTATTAAACTGATCAACATTACAAATGTGCCTGCCTGATGCTAGAGAGAGGGAATTAAATGTTAAAGTCTAAAATCTGCTGGCCCAGACACAGACCATTACTCTGATAGCTGTGTTGTGGTCAGCAACTCTGGAGAGTGCAAAACTGGCCACTCCAACAAGTTCTGAGCGCAGAACACAACCGTGTTTCCAAATATAGGGGCCCTCACAAGCATTTTTAATCAGTGAAAGCACAAGGGGTAATGAAGCAGGTCATTATTATCCCTGTTTGCCTCTAAAAAGGCCAAGGGCCCTTTCAGTCATGATTTTCAGACTTAATAAAAATTATGAAGTCTTCCTAAACCCACACCTACAGTGATGGAAATTACCCTGTGTAAGAGAAGAGGCTCTTATTACTTCTGATGGGATATTACAAGTCTCAGAGATTGTAAATTCTTTGAGATCTTCAAATGGAAGATAAAATAGGTCTTTGTCTATTATTTATTTACTTATTGACTTATTATTTATGTATCCCTAAGCAGCTCCATCCTGCCAAACCATATTTCTCCTGGCGTCTTTCAGCCTGTGACATTTATATTTTATTATTGACCTCAGTAAATGACATAAAATATGACTTCTACAATCTATGAAAATATGTGTGCTCAAGATCAGAACTTCATTTCTACCTGCTGTAGGTGTGGAGGAGTTGGACTCTCTGGCGTTATGAAATCTGTTTTTTTGTGTAGGGGTTGGAGGCAGGAGTTATCCTTCCATCTCAAGGCAAGCATAAATATTTCAAAGCACACATGATTCTAATTCCATTGAAGCTGGTCTGAAACATCCCAGCCTTTTTATTGAAAATGAGATGGTAATGTATGGTGGCCTGCAACAGATATACCAGTATTTTAAAACTGCTGCTATTGGGCCAAGTAATTATGCAGTACAGCTGTTGCGTGCTACACTGGATTCCTCAGTGTTTTATGAGTTCGTGGTGCTGTGCAGCACAGAAGTCACAGGATTTTTCAGAATGCTGAATTCAAACCTCTGATTATGCGGCTCTGTCTTGCCTTTCCCCCTTCTTGATTTGTAGTAGCCAATAACCAAGTTAGTAACCAATAAAATAAGCTGCACCCATTGATTAGGTGAGTGCTGCACGTGGGCCAGGCTCTGAAGAAGAGCCAAAATTGTGAATTCTGTCTGAGTGAGTGATGAGACAATAAAGGATCAGTTAATTTGAAACAGGTCACGGTTTTCTTCAGATATTTGGGATCCTGGAACAAAGGAGCAGTTCCTAATAAAGAGCCCTGGGATCCCTGGTCCTGGGGAGCGCTTGCTGACGTGGTGAAGGGACACCGACAGTGCTCAGACAGGTTTTACACCAGCACAGCCCAACATATGGGGGCACATATTGATCCATCCACCTTCCATCTCCTCTTCCAAAAAAAGCCCTGCCATTCCCTTCAAGTCCACACCACTGGATGGAATTTCTTTCTTCCTGAAGTCGTTTGAAGTCTTTGAAAAGGTCGTTTGGTGTTGCTCAGGAAAAGGTGTTATCACCCCAGACTGTTTCAGGGAGAAGTGCTGGGAATCACAACCACTGCTCCTTCACAGGCACAAGGGCTGGTCCATCAGCTGGATCAGGGCACAGTGCTCAGATACCTCCTCTATAAAGTGATAATTAAGTTTACTAATACTTCATTAAACATTGATCAGCCTTCCTAGAAATAGTAACGTTAGAACCATAATGAAACGGGATCGTTTTTTATCTGCTTGTTTTTGAGGCCATTATAATTGGCTTCATTACAATTAAGAAAGTATTTTCTGAAAAGTCATTTCCCTGGAAATGTTAGAGAACAGTTTGTTCTGCTAGCGACTTCCACGTCAGGCTTCTAAGTTGCTTTAACTCCCTGAGTGCTGCAAACTTTCTCCTGCCATTCCAGTGATGCCAGTTCAAATTATGCGAGATGGATCCCACCCTTTGTACCCCAAAGGTACTTATTCTCAAAATTGACCATATTAGAGGACTAATTGGCTAAGCCACCATGCTGGCTGATGTGAAATGCTTTCAAACACCATGAAACAGCTGTGTTTATCGGAAATATGAAGAGTGACTTTTTAATAAGGAGATCTGGCAATAATCCAAATTTGTTGAAAGGAACTTACACTTCTGTGTATAATACAATACAAGAGGTAAAGAA